TGCATATATACTTTTGATTCTTAATGATTTTACATCTTACTTTTAATGCTTTAATGAGCTTATAATATGGGGGGAGCTGATAGAAGATGAGGCTATAAATTGAGTGTTATTTGCAGTGATCTTATCGAAGACAGAACATCGTGTCAGAGTCACTTAGGATGCTTTTTAAAATTTCACCTAATTTCACTCTTGCAAAATTCTGATACATCTTGACTAACAGAATATTAGCTCTCCCTCTTATTTGCTCCTACCTTCAGCCGTTTGAGAACCATTAAGTTGTCATATACTTTTCTCATATAATATCTAGGATGTGCTTCCCACTGCGATCGAGTCTAGGGCCTCCAAGACTGTAAAGTCTATATGGAAGCAGACAGCATGACCTTTCTCCTGCAGAGCAGCTTCTGTGCCACCAGGGCTCCTTAGGGTTTGCTTAGAGATGGGTATTGTGTTCCACTGCGTCTGCCCCACAGTGTTTTCTTAATTGTAGAATAAGAATCTGTTTGACTATCTGGTAAATTTCCATTCCTATTTCAAAGCCTAAAACATGATCAGCCTGTTAACATTTTCTGCACAGTCAGTTGAAGTTGCCAGTTGGGTGAGCGCCGTTTCATTTCATGTTTCTCTTACGGTTACCTTTAAGTAAGGCTTTGGTTCAAACAGTTGTTAATTGTAGTCATTCTACTTTTATACAAATTGGGCCAAAGAACCCTTTTTTTTTTTTTTTAAAGTTGAAAATAAAAATAAAAAATAAAAAAGTTGAAAATAAATACTTCTATAGAAGATAGCATTTCCTTCTGACCTGATATTAGAAATTCAATCACCAATAAACTGGGTTTTGTACAAAATAATTTCCCAAAACTAGAAATACTCAGCATTTTTGTCTCGCTCTGGCAGTCAGGCAGTTAATTTTGTCCTTGTTTGGTTTTGCATATTGGAGATGTTATTTAGAGACTTGTTCTGAAGGTCTTTTTTAAGGTGAAGATATGTACATATTTCTGAATTTCCCTTTTCTGTATACTTCTAGAACTGAACCTTGCTGCATGGAGGTAGGAACAGTATTTCCTGCTTGCATACACTAATACTCAGTAACAGCTAAAAAGTTGTTATGTTAGTGGTCATTCAGTGATTCCGATTCATAGGGACCCTGTGCACCACAGAACGAATCACTGCCCGTTCCTGTGCCATTGTTGCTGCCATCATGTCAGTTTGTTAGTTTGAGCCCACTGTTGCTCCCACCATGTCAGTCCATCTCGTTAGGGCTCTTCCTTTTTTTTCGATGACCCTCCATTGTACCAAGCATGATGTTCTCTAGGAACTCAACACTCATGACAATATGTCCAAAATAGGAGAGACGATATTATATGTAAGAAAAGATTGTTGTTACTGTTAGATTTCTTTGAGTCAGTACCAACTAATGGAGACCTGTATAAGGTTTCTGAGGCTGTAAATCTTAGCTGGAGCAGCAACCTTCATCTTTCTCCTGTGGAGTGGCTGGTGGGCTCAAATCGCCAACCTTGTGCTTATCTTACTGAGCCACCACACTCTTCAGTAAGAGATTACATATAATAAATAGCTTTAAATTTGGTAAGTCAGTAGCATATTTTTCTAAAAATTAAGAAACATTTACAGGACTCAAGTTCCTTGAAGGAATGTCCATGAAGACAGTGTTCGTACTTTGTTGAATAGCACATGGGGTCTTTTCTAAGGTACAACTGTTTGTATTGGTCTCTCCCTGTCCTGAGGTAAGAAGAGTAATAATCTTTGAAGATGCCTGGAAACAATTAGTCCAAATCGACTGTTGAGCTATTTAAGCATCAGTCTCTACCATCCTGAGACCATTAGAACTTGATGGTGCCTGGCTACCACTACCAACTGCTCTGAAAGGTTCTGGATAGAGTGGGAGAAAATGTGGAACAAAACTCAAAATCATAAAAAAGACCAGGCTTACTGGTCAGATAGAGACTGATGGAACCTCAAGACTATAACCCTTGGTCTCCTTTAAGGTCTGGAACTGAACTCACCCTTGTGGCTCAATTTTCTGCCACACAATAGATAGGTATGTTTGGGGGATAATAACACTAGGGAGGTACACACACCATAGAATGATCAACCATTTGAGAGCAAAAGAACATCATTTACCCAAGGGCACAGTTCAGCAGGGTTGAGAAAGGAGTGGAAACAAGAAATATCGGGAGGAAGTGGGATAAATGTTGTTACATGGGAGGGGATTGTAGTCATTGAGATGAAACGAAGTGTATGACTTGTTAAACGTTGATCTCTGTAAACCTTCACTCAATTCACAATAAAAAAAAAACTTCAAAAATGAACAATTCAAAGGAAAGAATGAGCTATAGGAAAAAAAAGATAGTATGTTAACAGTGAAATATCATCATAAAATTCGTTAGAGTTATAAACTGATTTGCTTTTTAAATTAAAATGTATTTTATTGTAATACTGTGGCAAGAATTAATTCAGTGTATTAACATTTTTTAAGAATGGCATTAAACAGGACTTTTAGAAATCATTTCATTTAATACAAATAAAGAGACAAGCAGCTTCCAGAACTATGAGTATATTTATTTTTCTTTGAATGCTCCTTAAAACAAATAATAATAATACTTGATAATGTCATTTAACCAAAACTGTATGTTAACTTTAGAGACAATGTTTACTAATAATGTGAAAACATTTAAATATTTTAGGGCATAAGGGGAAATCAATATCTTTATATTTTGAAATCATATGAAAGCTACAATTCAGTTATTAAGTAGTTGGTAGCATTGTTAAGGCAATGTAGGTATATGACTATTACTTTTTTCTGAGTCTCTAATTTTTCTGTGAATTTCCTTTTTCATTCTCAAATATTACCTGTTTTTTTAAATGTTAATTGCTTTGACCTTTTCTTTATTCAACCAATCATATTAACTTTCTGAAATATGGTTAACTGCGTATTAGCTGTATACAAGCTAAATTTTCCCCAGATGGTGGCCTACCTTAAGTTTTCAGAATTATTTTGATTATAAAAAATCCTCATACTCTATGATACAAGCTTATGAATGGATCTTTGGAGTTCGTGTTAACAGGCTTTTACATGTTCACTCAATAGTTATTTGAGTTCTGTGTGTAACCAAAAAATTGGGCAAATGCTGAGAGTGGTTGCCTTAGTGATATCCCCCAGATGGCTAGATCCAGGTAGATATGATTAGAAAAAAAACTAAATACACAAATGTTTTCATTCTTTTAAGTACCCCATCTCTCCTTTCCTCCCTGTCGCATTCATCCACTCATTCATTCATTCAACGATTCAACAAATAGATGTTGGTCTCCTCTGTGTCAAGTAAAGTGCTAAACTCCAGGGAAGCATCATGAAGAAGAACTCACAGACCTTGCTATGCGATTATTTTTGAGCATATATGAAAATTTCAGAATACAATTCTTTAAAATCTAATTTACAAGTTGTTCTTTACTGTTAGGAAATATTGACGATAACACATTACCATTTTGCTTCAAATCTCTCCAGAGGTAACTTGAAGGAGGTATATATGATGGGGCTTCAAAAAGTTTGTGGTAAGAAAAATTCCATTATCATTTCATTGATTTTCCTCACACTTTTTGAAGCCCCCTGATATGTTGTGTATATTACCACGCACATTTTCTATTTTTGTGTGGTGCTGTAGGATCAGAACTGGACTGCAAACCAAAAGGTCAGCAGTTCAAACCCACCAGCTACTCCTTGGAAACCCTATACAGGGTCACTTTGAGTTGGAATTGACTCGATCGTACTTAATAACAAACAACAATGTATAGATTAATAAATAATATGGTATTATTTTATATATTTGTCATATAAGCACCATAAGGTTGGCAGTTCAAACCCACCAACCAATCCTAGGAAACACTATACAGGGTCACTATGAGTCCGAACTGACTCGGCAACATTTAACAGCAACAGTATTTTACAGAAATGATTAAATGTGATGAATATCCTTTTACAGTTTGTTGTTGTTGCTCAACAGTGCTTTTGAGATTGACCTCTGTTGATGCATATGGATGTAGTTTATTTAATTGAAGTGCAGTCTAAGAGTCTACTCTGTGAATTCCCACATTTATATCCCCAAACCTCTGTTCAGATGGATTGTTAATTAGGTAGTTTCCAGTTGTTCAGTATTCTGAGCAGTAGTAGTTTACTGAGCATCATTGCATATGCTTTCTTGTATACATGCTTCAGTGATTCTGTGAACTCTATACCTAGTAATGTCCTTGCTAGACCATATGGTATGTACAGCTTTACTTTTACTTGTTATTTTACCAGGGTGGTCCAAGCTGGACAAGTCATTAATAAATCTGCTTTAAGTAAGGGGTGATTGTGTCCAGGCTATTGAATCCTTAGCTTGTCTGTTGTTTGATTTTGCTGTTCATGATCTACATTTTTTCCATTTTTATCTACACAGTGATAGATAGTGGGTGATATTTTTATTAGACTTTTATTAATGATAATTTCATGCGGTTTAAAGGTGTAAGCATAAATGAATACATTGACAAATTCTGTAGACTTTTTACATGACAAATCAACATATATTCTTAACATTTTAAGTTGATTCCCAAATCATTGCACTTACTTTAAACACACTTTAAATTAGTACCAGTAGCGGGTGCTTGATTTCAATGACTATTTTAGTAACTTGAGAAACTATGACATTTTCTTTCTTTTGTTATTAAAAGCCATTGAATTTCAGTCAACTTCATAAATCTTTGTGACGAGTGTTAGAATAAGAATTTAGTTTTAAATTATTTTACGTGCATATTTAAAACCCAGTGGTAAACATAAACTCTTCTTTCCCTTGAAATAGTTTACAATTAAGCAGATGAAATATTGCAAATAAAAGCTTTGAGAGGATCTGAATTTTGTAAATGTTAGAGCTTCTTTTACAAACTTTCAGTTCTTCAAGGAATTAAGAGTCTGTGTTATCATTCTTTATCATCCTTCTGCCTCAAGTTCTTTAAGAAATAGACTGAACTTTAGCTGCACCAGATATGTCATGCAGAGAGTATCCTGGTTTAAATTCTGAAGTGCTTTCACTTCTACTGGATTCCCCTTGAAATCGTCTGAAAAGGAGTTGGCACATTATTTTTCGAATATTACTGGACATCAGGAAATACATGACTGGGTCTAGGCAGCTATTGAAAGCAGACAGAACTAGCATGATCTCATTGGTTTTGTGTGCAATTTCCTTCCAGTGGCAAGGTGATTTATTTAACTGTGAATTAATATAGATGAATCGAAAGATGTGATATGGAACAAAACATACTGTAAAAATGATAAGTACAATAAAGGAATTCCGGGCTGTAGTAGCATATTTACCAGAATTAGGAAATTTTGACCTCTTTTTAGAAATCCTCATTAGATTCTTGCCTATCTTAATATATGAAAGGATTATCAGTAAGAAAATTAGCCAGAACATTGCCACAATAAGGTAGTTAAAAATTGCTTCTCCTTTTGCATTTTGCCTATCTCTGTAATGGAAGCACATTGTGGAAGTGGAATTATACCCTTCTGTCTTCAATGTTGAAATAATCATAGTTAAAAATCCAGCTAGAGCAATTATCCATACTGTACAGCAAACGTAAACACTTTGTTTGACTGTTATTGCCTTTCGCTGTTGTATAGATCGATTAATCTTTATGTAGCGATCCAAACTGATGAATCCAAGCAAAATAATGCTAATGTACATGTTCATATAGAATAGTGTTCCCACAACCTTGCAAAGAATCACACCCAGTGTCCACTTGTTTTGGTTAATGTGATACACTATTCGGAAAGGAAGGCAGAAGATGAGCAGGAGGTCTGCAACCGCAACATTAAGTAAGTAAATTTGAATCGAATTTCTTTTGCGGTGGATACCCAGAAATACATACAGGGCAATTATATTCCCAAACAGCCCCACAATGAAAATAATAGAGTAGCATATTGTTAACACAGTAGATAGTAATTTTTCCTCCATGGGGCAGGTAGTAGTAACAGTTGAGGTTTTTGAGATATTTTGTGGTAATTGGTCACTGTAATTAGTTACAAAGTGTGTTCCGTCAGAAGAGAAAGGCCAGCTGCTGACTGAAGTTGTTGTCATTCTTACAGTATGACTTCTCTTTGTCTTCTTTGGGGATCAAAAAGTGAAGAGGCTAAATGGCATGTTCCTTGTGGGTCATTTTTGTGTCTTCAGATTTTTCCTACAATAGAACACCAAACATTTAGTCCTTTTCTATATCAATCACAGTTACTTTAACTTAAAACATAAACAACAAGTGATTTGTTTTCAGACATTGTGAGAAACTTTACTTTTATCCTTCTTTGGACTATTCAGCTCTGGTAGCGTAGTGGTTACGAATCGGGCTGCGAACCTTACGGTCAGCGGTTCGAAACTACCAGCTGCTCCGCGGGAGAAAGATGAGGCTTTCTACTCCCGTAAAGATTTACACCCTCGGAAACCATGTACAGGGTCGCTATGGGTCGGACCCGACTCGATGGCACTTAACAACAACAACAACAACACTCTGTATATAGAAGCATTCTTATATCACTAAACACGCAGCACATTAGGATCTGATGGAATGTTCTGTTTGGTCTAAAGTTTCCTATGACTCTGGTTTACATTCAAGGTTGGTATAATTTATTATATTAAACTGAATGATAAGATAATCTCTTCTTGGAGAGATTACTGAGGAATTAAGAGATGGAAGTGAAGAAAAATTGCAGCTGATCATTTTTCAAAGGTAAGCATTGGTTTTCCTAATGGTGGATATAGCCTTGCGAGAGAGTGGGCCTGACCAGCCTCACAACTGCTTCCTGTCTTGACCCTTTCACGCACATCTGGCATTTATTCATTTTGACATGTTGCCACATGGATGTGATAGACAAAACGTAGGGATATCTCATTCCATGCTGGTAATTGGGATGAGGGTCCTAACTTACCTTCCATTGTATACCTAAGGGCAAATGGTGGTTGTTGTTAAGTGCCGTTGAGTGGATTCCGACTCAAAACGTCCCTGTATAGGGTTTCCGAGGAGCAGCTAGTGGATTTGAACCACTGACTTTGTTCACAGTCCAGTGCTTATTGTGCCACACTAGGAGTCCTAGGCCAAATTGGGGTATTCAAATAATATGCCTCTGGGGGCACTCATTTTAATATGACAGGCCAAGAAATCACAACACCTGCCTAGAAAGAGACAGTGTGTGGATTCTGTTTATTGTTTGTGGCAACAGAATCTTAGCATTAACTGCCTCAGAGTTCTCAGTCTAGGAGCCTGTCATACAGAACTAGAAGATAGGAAGTGAAATTCCTTCTGAAGAATGACTGTCCTGTATCTCAACAACAGCCTCTTAGTTAGGTTTAACAAGATTTTCAAAATCAGACCAATTCAATTCTAACACTCAACTTTCTCATTGATAAAAATGATTAAAAAAAAAAAATACAAAGAATTTAACCCTGGCATATAACAAGAGCTCAATAAAGTTAGCTTTGGAAAACACCTTTCTATTAATCTCATTTTACAGATAGTTCCTACCTGGCTCAGTAGCGCTTAGGAAACAACAGTGAGTAAATGCATTTTCAGGAGTGCACATGCAAACCCTGAGTGCTATAATGTAGAATGAATTTGAATCATAAAAATTATTCTTCTGGCTTGACATTATACACAGAGGAACATTTGGAAGAACTTAGCCTTTCTTAAAACTCTACCTATAATTTGATCAAGATGAAACCCTTTTAGTAGAGAGAAAAATTCAGGTTTACATTTTTGTACAGGGGGAAATTGATTCCAACAAAGAAGAACTGGCTAGTGAAGAGGAAGTCATATAATCCTGTCACTCTAGAGTTCACCATGGGGGTGGGGAGCGTGTATGTAGTCTGTTGCGTGTCTCAATGGCAGACAGCGGATTTCATAAAAGTTTATTGAAACTTATAGGCATGTTTCTCTGACATGAGTTGAGATTCTTAAAAAGAAAGACAATCTAGGAAGAATGGCAGTCTGCCAAAAATGAAACTGATAGTGCAATATGAACTATCAGGAAGAGGAAAGGGAGGTCTGTCGAAGGTCCTGTGTTGTGTGACTACATAGGCATTCGCAAAGGCTCAGGTGGAAACATATCACACCCACTAGTTAACGGGAGTTGACACACGAGAAATGAAGTGATTTTGAGAGCTCAGGTAGCTCACGTAACTCCCCAAACTCATTTGTGGGTAGTTAGCAATTTTACTTTTTTTCTTTCCTCTCTATTTGTATACCAAGTGCTTAGCATAATAAATACCGTTGAATAAAAATTGGAACTTAAAAATAATATATGTAAAATTCTGCATGTGAGTATGAAAATCAATTGTGCAAGTTCAGGAAGAGCTTTAGTTGTATTAACAGAAACCCAGTTGCAACTGACTGCTACTACTAATCAGTACTGTGAGACAACTGCAACAGAAATGCATTGATAAAGGTTTGATGACTAGTCTGGTTCTATACCAGGATGGTTGGGTCTCACCTGGAATGCAGCATTTCTCCTAAGCAGCATACTCAAAAAAGGCTGCAGACCAAATGGGGAGAAGAATTCCAATCACATCACAGGAGCAAACTGAAGGAACTAGACACCATACCCTAGACATGTGACTGCTTCACGGGACCATAGAGGAAAGAGTTTCAGCTTGTTATATGTCTCTTCAGAAAGCAGAACAGAGCCAGTGAGTAGAAATTGCAGAGATACATGTTGCATCCTTTTATGGAATTGCTTTTTTAGAATGGACCAATCTATCTAGGGAGGCAATAAAGTAATAAGGGTCTTACCACTGGAGATTTTCCAGACTACCTCGGAAACCCTGTACAGGGTCGCTATGGGTCGGAACCGACTCGACGGCACTTAACAACAACAACAACAACCAATTGGGTACTTTGTAAAAGAGTTTCGTGTAGTGGTTCTCAATCCTAGCTGCGTATTAGATTCTCCCTGAAGACTTTTTAAAGATACCAGTGCCGGGCTCCCATCCCCAGTTATATTATGTTATAATTGCTCTGGAATGGGCTGCAGGCAGTGGTTTTCTTTGAAAGCTCCTCTGGGATTCTGATGTGCCATCAGAATTGAACCCTTGAGCTAGATGACCAAACCCTTAGCTAACATTTATTTAGTACTTGCTGTGTACCAGATCCACTATTTTATATCATTTCATTTGCATAAAGCATACAATAAACTTGTGAGGTAGGTATTCCAAAAGAAGTTCTGGAAGATCAAGAGGTTATGACTCTTTACCCAGGACCACACAGCTCTTAAATGGTAGTACCCCAGGTTAGGATTCAGATCCAGCTGACTCATAGAGCCCATGATCCTTTCTATGTAACCTCACTTTTTCTTATCACACATAATCAGCATTTTCTATATGAAGGTTGAGTTGAAGTTGCAGTATCTTGGTCTTGGCATGATTAATTAGATTATGCCATCTGTTTACTTCTTTGGAAAATGAGTTATTCTTTTTATTTGGTGGATACGTTATAGTAAATAAATACGGTCAGAGTTAATCCAAATCCCCACACATTCATCAGAATGCTCGGCGTATCCCCTAACTGCCGGTACCTTCCCACGCTTTACTTCTAGACCTGACAACCATAATGAAGATGGTTCTAAAAAGCTGTTAATACAAAATACATATCCTGAAACCACTTACCTTAACTCTAATCTACACAGAAATAATAGTTGTGCAGGATAGTAACAGTAAACATTTCTGGTTTTGCTCTATTCTTGAGAGAAAGAGAATAAAGCACGAATAAAGCACATACATGCATTTGTTTAGAAATGGGAACCATAGCCATCCTTTATAGCCATGAATTAGATGGCTAGTGCTTACTTATTTATTAGCAAATTAACAGATTCGATCTTGTTTGACACTTTATGGCTAATTTTTGCCTCCTCTAAGATTGGTTGGTACATGACACTGTGTCATCACTTAACTATTCTTAACAACTGCATCTTTGAAGACGTTAGGAATCGCCAGTGAAGACAAGTAATAAACCACTGTGTTTACATAGTACACTAACTTCCCAATGACCATTACTTGGGACACATGTGCTATATTGAAGTGATTGCAGTGGTTTCCTAATTGTTGCTGAGTGTCATCAAGTTGATTTTGACTCATAGAAATCCCGTGTAGAGTTTCTGAGGAGTGGCTGGTAGGTTTGAACTGCCGACCTGTGGTTAGGAGTCCAGTGCTTATCCTACAGTGCCACACACAGCATTGTTACTTGGCAGATTGTGACATTATCAACCCTACCCATATTTTAGTACCTCGTACCCCCCACCATCCTACTCCACTCTGCCCTTTTTTTTTTTTTTTTGGTAAGTTTTTATTGTGAATTGAGTGATAGTTTACATGGGAGAACATCGGCTTTACACTCAACCAGATTATTTTTTAACTGCTCATATAAGAACTACTGCACTGCAAGGGCAGGACCTAAAAATTCCACTGTGGCCAGATGAGAAGAAGCTTTTTAAACGTAGTTTTGGTTGGTTTGTAAAAAGACCACATTGCTATGTTAAAATACATACCTTTTTGATAATGGTAGCAACCTTCCAGCAAGTTTTCACCATTTTCAGTTTGACTTGACAATGAATCATTCAGGCCATGCTTCTGAAATTACACTAATTGCTGCATACAGAATGGAAATGGAAAGCATATTATTTGGGGAATAATATTAATAGCATATTAAGTTCTGTTATAAACTTCTTTGTGTCCAAAAGACCATTTTTAAAATTTTTAATTAGTTGAATTAACTAGCTAAAGTGCATTTTGCTGTTTGTTTTCTTTAATAGCCACCTTACTTATTTCTGAAACACCCAATCTAAAATTTAATTGGTCTAGTAATTTAAAATAGTGATAAAGAAAGTACTGTACTTGAAAATAAGGAGGCAGCAGAGTTTAATAAAGTGAACCGATTACAGATAATTTAGAATACATTGGAAATAAAATTTATTACATATTAAAATAACTTTTCATTGATGCAAGTAGATCTGCACATCTTTATGGCAATATACAGAATTATAAGCAATGTGACCTAGCCTTAGCCTCATTTTAGTCACTTTAGCCACTTTAAGGACTTTGGAACATTCAGG